CACCCTCCTCTGGGGTGGGGGGGTGGGGGGTAATGGCTACACCACAATCCCTTCTCCATTATCTTCACGGGATTTGGGGCACATAGGCATACGCACCTGACCACCTGGCCACGGAGTTGGTCTCCAACCTGATAGCCTGCCATGAGGAACCCAACCATCTAAAACCCTCTGCTCCTTGCTGGTGCCACCATTAGCCTTTTGTAATGATGTAGTGTTTTGCAATTATTTGCCAGTAAGAGAGAATATATAAATAGCTAAATTTTACTGAACAATTAATAAGAATTCTATTAACCTTCATTAAAAAGTCCGTGAATTAGATGCTACCGTTATCCACGGTTCCACTAATGAAGTAACTGAGACACAGAGTTCAAGTTTTTTGCCAGTATTGCACACAGTGGTAGAGCTCGGTGTAGGAACTGTATTGCCTTCCTAAGCCTTTTCCCAAACGACAATACAAACGTCAACTATGATTTTTCTCACATTTTGGGAACTCATTACTTAGGACTTTCAGCTGGGAATATTGTTTTTCTTTATATTGATTGTCACATAAATGATAAAGGGAGTGACGACGTACAAATGGAATACTTCAACTCGATTCAAGCCAAACATGTTTTTTCCTAAAGTTCAATCCTCACCCTATTTCTGCTTTGCTCAACACAGTTTTGTTGGCAGCTGCTGGAGATTGTATTTTCCAAAATTGGCCACACCTGTAGGCCCTCCACTCCACAAGCTCTTCTTTCAACGTGACTGACACTCATTTTTCCCTCCAGAGGTGGGGTCTACCTCTCTGGGTTTTTAATCTTGGCAGGGAGTACTGACTGCGCTTGGCTAGGGCAGTATGGCAGAAGCGATGTCATGTGAAGTCCCAAGATAAGTGCAACAGAATGACAAGTAAAAAGGCATCAGATAATTCCAACCCTAGCCATCAACCCTTCCAGCTCAGACCCCAGATGTCACAAAGACAAGACCTTCCCTCTATGTTGTCTGAAACCATGAGCCACAGAAAGTAAAATGCTTAGTATTGTTTTAAGCAACTGTTTGATGGTAGTTTTTTTTTTTAACATAGTAATATTAATCAATATAACACCCTTATCTTTAGTTCCCCAGTCACTCCAGATTGCTCCCTTAACATACTCTGATTAGGCCAGCCAGTGGCGTGGTGGTTAAGATGGCTGGATCCTATATGGCTGACTGTACTGTTTGAGTCCTAGACCCAGTGGCTTGAAAAACACACCAGGCATATATGTGTGTGTACCGAAACTCTCAAGGAAAATGGAGAAGGGACTGTGTTGTAGCCATCCGCCCTAGGGGGTGCCTTCTCACTGTCCCTCTCTCTGGGGAGCGGGAACCATATCCCAAACTTAAAAAAATAATTACCAACTGTGAGAGGTCAAAGCTATGACTACATTGACCAGATTGAGGAAACTATTCCCTCAAGAAATGTGACAGACAACCCTTGAAGCTGCTGATTTAAGATCCTGTGGAAGTCAAGCCTCTCCAATAACTCACTCTTTATTTCCTCTTGTCCACATAGTGGAGACGGGTACAGAGACGGTTATGAACTCAGGTCTGCCCTCTCCCTGGTCTTGGCCTTGCCTAACTGAATAAATTCCTTTCTTTATTCACCAAGGTTTTGTCTCTTTGCTGTAGGTGGTATGGACCTGGCTTTGGGTGTCCTGAACAAGTATCCATGCCTGTTCTAGCATCACTATGCTGGAAAGGACAGCTTCTAGAAAAGTTTAGGAAGATTTAGGGGCATTTGGAGCAGGACAGCGAATTTCCCTGTAGAATTACATCAACCAAGTTTTTTGCTTGTTTGTTTGCTTGTGTGTTCTAAGTTTTTGCCATAGGACAAGTGCGTTTGCTGAAGAGAGACACAGAGACACAGAGAAAGAAAGTGAGAAATCACCCCTCAGAAGGGATGGCCATTCCACAATCCTTTCTCCTCCATTCTTCTCTAGGGACTTTGGGTATAAATCCACAAGCACCTGGCATGATTTTTTTTTTTCCTTTTCTTTTTCTTTCTTTCTTTCTTTTTTATTTTATTTTTTTTTTGAGAGGTTGAGAGGTTGTTGCTATAGGACACATGCACTCACCAGAAAGACACAGAGACAGAAAGCGAGAAATCACTCCCCAGGGAGGATGGCCACGACGCAATCCCTTCTCCTCCATTCTCCTCTTGGGATCTTGGGCATGTATGCACATGCACCCAGCATGAGTTTAAGCCACTGGGTCCAGGGCTCGAACCAAGGAAATCCAGTCAATAACTCCATCTAGTGGCACAATGGAAAGAGATGGCTTAAATTATGCAAAGTATATTACAAGTCTTAATAAAATTAAGACTTCTTTCTCCGTAAATGCCTACTAAGCCACCAAGAGACTTTCTCGAAGTAGAAGTTTGTTTCAGGGATATTACATCAAAACAAATGAGAAAATTAAGCAGTTTAACAGAAAATTAAAAAAAATTAGATTCGTAATAAAAGAGGATGTATGATATTCTCTCTCTGTAACTGCCAGAGAATGGGTGCACTCACCATAGAGACAGGAGTGGTCCCAGCTGAATTGCTTCTACTGCATTTCTTCATTCTGTCTGGATTGTAGGCATGAATGCACACGTGCCCAGAAAAACATGGAAGTAGCTTTGGAAATGGCATGACCAGAATATGCTATCAAGAGTGGAAAAGCCACATTCCTGATTGCTTTTAAACTAAAATTTGAAATCTAAAATAAAACTTACTATTTCACTTTAAAGTATATAAATGTACATTCTATAAAAATGGTAATTAAATTCTTAGAAAGTATTTTGTAGTAGAACAACATTTTCTGAATAAGTGAAAGCTTTTATATTACATTTTTATTTTGCAAGAAAATAAATTATACAACTTAAAAAATAAAATCCCAAAAGTAAGCAGTTCATCAAAATATTTCAGCCTACTGCATACAGAAACTGCTACTATTTAAAATTGTACAGCATTATCATCTCAGTATGTAGTGGCACACATTCAAAATCGTAGACCGTATGAGGATAGGTACAACTTAGGAACTCAAATTTGTTCAACACTCCAGATGACATATAGTGTAGATGAAAGGAAAGCTCTCATGTTTATTTCACAAATATGACCTTGGAAGAATTTATAAGATAGCATCCCAATCATTTACATGAAAATAGAAAAACCAGCGTGAGTTCAAGATAGCAAATCTTTCTGCAAAACTAGCAAATCTTTCACCCAAATCAAATTTTTAAAAATCACCCTGTAAGCAGGGCAGATGACATCCTACTTCAACTAATGCAAAATACTTTTTAACTACTCAGGTCATATTTTGTATTAAATTTAATAAAAAGTGAAAATGAGAAAGCTAACGTCATTTTACGAAATTTTAATATGTATGCATAAAATAAGAGCAAGAGACTCAAATAAATAGGTTGACGGAACTCAAGAATGCCTCCAATAAGTGTGAAAATTGGAAGACTTCAGAACTTATTTCAAGATCCTCATTACATTATTGGAACAATAATGTTCTAATATTTATCTCAATTTTAACTTTGTAGTCTACTTACTCTGTCAGTGAGATGGCAATAAAGGTCAACATTTTCCAGATGGTACCATCTTTAAATTAGAAGATGAGTTCAAAGCTTAAATTAACCTCTGAAGCATCTTTTGCCATGAGACTTAATCATGAGGAAAATTTTAAATCTATCTATATTTGGAGGGAATAGTGGGAAAAGACTTGATTTTTCTTTCCCCTCGACTATTTTAGGTTTATCCCTGCTCAGACAGCACTAATTGTAAGTGCACATTGGAGAAAAAAGACCGGATAAAAGATACAGTGATTCCATACCTTCAGGAAATCGCTGTTAGTAATTTTCAGATTTTTATTTTTAAATTAGCAAGTCTACTGTCAAAACAGATTTAAAGAAAACACAACAATGCTATAGGCAACTTGTCAACTAAATGATTTTCATAAACGCCAAAAAGTAGTTAAGACTTTTGTATATGTAACAAAAAAAGATGAAAATTGTAAGTCTACAGTATTTGCTGCTATTGAATTCCCCAAATTAGGACATAATTAGCTATTAAAAATTTATAAAATTTAATAGAAAACTCTGCTATGGACTTAGTGTTATCCACGTTTACATTAAATTTACCTTTAAAAATCAAAACATCATGACTCATTCTTAAATCAAAGGAGCAAAAATATAGAAATTCCAAAAAAGTTCCGAGAACAAGTATGGTTTAAAATAACAATTTCTGAATTTTAAAAAAATGACCTGTAAATGTTTCTCTTATTGTCTCCTCCTTTGGCATTCTTGTATTGGGACAAGCAAATATGCCAATAATAAACTGTCCAGTAAACAAAAGGGCCACAGTTCTTACAAAATTACTTCTTCTAAGTTTCAAATATATCCACTGTTAGCAGTCGTCTAATTCAAGAAAATACTGAGCACTAATTTTCGTTTAATTCTTCACAATGTGTTTGGTCTAAAAATTGACATACGCTACCTAAGTGCTGAAGTGTAAGATTTTAAATTATAAACCAATTTCCTATGAGTTTCAAAACTGGCATTTGAGTATAATCAGCAAAATATTAAGTATTTAGAATTTGCTTTCCTTCTTGTCAGCAGGCAGCTTACAAAACCTCTCAGGACTGGGGACAGTGTCTATGAAATGCTCTTCAAAGCACTCTGTTATAGTGTAATACTGTATGCCTTTCAGCACTCCATTTCCTACTATCTTCAAAACCATGCTTTAAAAATATTACTGAATATCAAACAAGATATAAAATAATTTGCAAGAAAACCTGAAACGTGCACCACAATGAATAAAAATCCATATTGAGACATTGTTTCCCAATGGGGAATAAATGTTTCTCTTAAATTGTTCAAGTCCTCGAGTTCTGAAATTTCCACTACTCCGGGCATCCAGTTGCCAACAACTAAAAAGTTGCTACTTTGGCTTGGTTTGCATTGCCTTCTGAACATCTTAAAAATGTTTATTTTTAAAATATATAAATATATGTACATATATTTGGCAAGTTTACCGCTCATATTAAGATTGCGACAATTTTGCTTAAGCTTTTCAGGTCTTTTATGTTATGGTTTTTCTCTCCTGGGTGACTTCTACTTCATTATTACTTTCTAAAAGAAAATGTCTTTCTTTCCAGAAACCTGAGGCTATTAAATCCCTATCATGAGACTTTAAAATACCAAAATAGTTCTATAGTACAGATCAAGAGATCAGTTACATAACTGCATTATATCAGAGCAGGTCACTTCTCCAATGTTTTCAATATATTGAGATGTGACATAATAAATATTAAGTATATAAATATTAAGTGTATGCTGACTGACACACTTAATGTTTGTTTTGCAATTTTGACTATAATTATAATGACCTACATTTTTCCATACACTTTTTTAAAAAAACTGAAGCAACAATTAACATAAGCTTCACTTTTTCAAAACAAGCTCTCCAGCCATCTAAGGTTTAAAACAAACAAAAACAAACAAAATCCTCAATCAGTTAACAGTAACTAAAACAGCCATCTCCTGCTTAAAGAAAACCAACATTTGTAAGGTGGAAATATTTAATACCATTTTCAGGTCATCATTAAAATCCAGTTATTATACTGAAGCAGTGTTTGAACAAACTTTTGATACTCTTTATACTTATCTTTTCACTTACACCTGCCCTCCCAAGGTTGCATTGACCAGCTCAATCTTCTAATCAAAAATTTAAAATAAGATAAAAATAAAAACAAGAATGCTATTTCTAGTTTTAATTGCATTTTTTAAAAACATAAGATAACAGCATTTTTCAGTGCATGAATATCTGAAAATCCTTCCTTGTGCAAGTACATTTCTTTAAGAGAGGAAAAAAGAGAATTAAGCAACAAGAACCCCTCCCTCAGCCTTCCCAACTGTATTTCTCCTGGTGGGTATAAATCAAATTCACTTTTAAAAGTTCATAATGGGCTCTTCATGAATGCAAGTTTCTCCACAAAACAGCATGCTGTTAAAGAGTGTGCAACATGAAGGGAATGCCATCATGCTAACTAATGTGATTGACAAAATATAGTTGTTTTGTAAGGTAAGGCAGAGATTTTTAATATTTATGTAATCAAAGTCCAAAAAGAGCGTTCTCCAGCACAAACTGTTACACCATTCTGCCCAAGCACTCCAGAATTTGGGTTCCTCATATTGTCTGTGATACCCGCAATTAAGCCATGTATATGAAAGTGTTGATGTCGGATTCATCTCTTCTGATGTACTTGTGCTCTATTAGCCATTCTATTTGCTCTTTTATCATTTTCTTTTGTGGCAAAAACATGTTTTTCAAAATTTCTACTAATTCAGTCTGCAGCTGAGCATTGCTGATCTTCTTTCTCATTTTCATTATCTGTATGATAGCTTCCTAAAAGAAAAAAGAAATAAAAACATATTAATATATTCAGTAAAATAAAACAAAAAAATTACTCTTCACATATTTCATCCAGCATCTGTCCAAATGAATAGCAATCGCCAGGAGGTTAATCTTGGGACAACTATCTTTTTTTTGAAGAGGTTTTTGCTATAGGGCACGTATGCTCGCCAGACCGAGACAGAGAGACAGAAAGCGAGAAATCATCCCCATGGGGGATGGCCACACTGCAATCCCTTCTCCTCTCGGGATCTTGGGCATGCACGTACATGCGCCCGGCCTAAGTTTTAAGCCACCTGGTCCAGGACGCGAACCGCAGTCAACAACATGGGAGTCCAGCAACATAGCCAGTACACTAACTGCTGGTCCCACTTGAAAATTTCTTTCACTACTATGTTTATAACAAGGACTATCTGAAAATAATTAAATATTCTCTTTAAATTCTCTTTTAATTAAAAATTTCTCTTTTACCTTTTCCACTTCTCTCCCTAACCAACAAAGTCTACCCTGGTAGAATTGAAATTTGTTATAAAATAAAGGTGAAGGAAGTAGCAGGTGACATAATGGTTACATGGCTGGACTGCCACAGTCAACCACAGTTCGAGTCCCAGAACCAGTGGCTTAAACTTCACACTAGGATCATGTGTCGTACGTGCCCAAGATCCTGAAAGAGTAGAGGAGGAGGTATTGGGTGTGACCATCTCCCCTGGGGGCTGATTTCTCGTTTTCTGTCTGTCTGTCTCTGTCCCTCTGGTGAGCGCAGGCTCCTTGCAGCGAAAATCTCTCTCAAAATAAACAGAGACCAGCAGATGACGTTATGGTTATGTCACTGGACTCCCAGAGAGTGGACATGGTTCAAGTCCTGAACCCGGTGGCTTAAACCTCACGACGGGCGTGTGCGCATGAGTGCCCAAGATCCTGAGAGGAGAATGGAGAAGGGATTGCGGTGTGGACATCCCCTTTCTGTCTGTTTCTCTCTGTCTCTCTGGAGAGCGCTTGCACCCTATAGCAAAAATCTCTCAAATAAATAAAATGTGAAAAGAGAAAAATAAGTTCTGTTTGCTTTTTACATTTAAAATAGAATTTTGCTACAAATCATGGGCTTAGAAGTCAGACACTACTAGTGAGAGACGAATTACTTCAAGTTAACCCTCCACATAATGATGATCCCTTCAGTGACACAAGAAGATCAAGTGAATTCTTCCCAACCCTCCGTGTATTCAGGTACCAAGCTTCTGATCATAGATCATTGATAGGGGTTTATATTAGGGTCCAGACAGAGAGAAGAGAGGGAAAGTGTTTATTCAGGCAATTAAAGACTACAGGAACCATGGGGAATAATGGACAACTGTACATGTTCCAATTTCTCCTCTTCTAAAGGTTTGGTATAGGTAAGGATGGCGATTGTGTTAGAGAAATGAAGAATAAAGCAGATCAGGGGCTCTGGCCCTAATCGTCATTTCAGAAGATGGAGGTCACTTCAAGTGTGGCATGGTATGGCGGAAATAATTTGTACTGAATCTCCCTCAGTTCCCACATGACCCAGATGGAGACAGGGCCTTTGGCAGCTGGGCGGGGTGATCCTACAGTGACAGATAATGACAGTGTGCCATGTAGGCCAGGGGCCAGACAGAAGATGTGGTAGAGCCTCAGAGGGCCCAAGAGCTCCGTCAGAGCAGGGAAAAGGCCACGTGGCACTTAGCAAGTAGAAAAAGAAAAAAAAAAAAACGTTAAGTTCATCTATTACAGGCAGGAGACCATATACCAACACCAAGCCCAAGTCCCAAAGGTGGCAGATATGTAACTCCACAGCTGCCAAGAGCAAGAAGCCAGGACACTGTCACAACCATATACATAAGACAATCCCTTCATTGTCACTACAAGGTCAATTCCTCTTATCCTCAATAGATCCAGATGCCATCTATGAAAACTGCGAGTAGTGGGGATGGATGGAATAGAGTCAGGAAGAAATAAGAAAGTCTCAGCATTACCAAAAGAGACAGCTTAGATTACTGAATTGGACATTACTATGGAACCATTTAAAACATACAAAAATATGTCATGACTTTTCCAATGACCCAATACTTTTCAAATAAATGCTTATGAATTTTTGGGCTTCTTGTTATATTTTTCCCTTTCTTATTTACTACCATAAAAAAAGCAAATGATTGATTTGTTTGTTTTTAGGTTTTTGCCATAAGGTGTGTATGCTCACCAGAAAGAGAATGAGAGAGAAAGACAAAGACGGTGAGAAAGCACTCCAAAGGGAGGATAGCCATGCCACAATACCTTCTCCTCCAATTTCTTCCCAGGAATCTGGGCACACACACACCATGCTGCACGTGATTTTCTAGTTGCTGGGTCTGGGACTATGGAGTCGGCCATGTGAGAATCCAGCACCTTAACCACCATGTCACCTGCTGGCCCTACAAGTGCTTTTTACTTATTCATCTTTTCTCTGCTACTTTATTATATCATATGATCTATAAATAATAAAAATTTTTCATCTTTTCTCCATTTTGTATTTTGTTGCAGTAGCCACAAGTTTTAAACAGTCTTAAATAAATATTGCAATGGGGCCAGCAGGTGGCATGTTGGTTAAGGCACTGGATGCTCACAAGGTCAAATGTGCCTTGAATCCTGGAGCTGGCGGCTTAAAAATCACACCAGGCATGTGTGAGTGGATGCCCAAAATCCCAAGAGGAGAATGTAGGAGAAGGGACTGTGGCATGGACATCCCCCTGGGCAGTTATTTCTTACTTTCTCTCTCATTATCTCTCTCTTTCTCTCTTCTCTCTGGCCAGTGCATGTGCACTATGGAAAAAATTGTTAAGAACATTAAATAAAAATCGTAAAAGTAAAACAACGGGTTTCAAAGACTATTTCTAAAGTTAAAAAAAACCAATATATTAGTTTGCAACAGGTATTCTTTATCATCTTCAAAAGGTATCTTAATCCTAGTTTAAAAAAAAATTTTTTTAAGAGTCTTTTTTTGCTAAAGGGTGCATGTACTCACCAGAGAGACAAAGAGACAGAAAGTAAGAAATCACCCTCTTGGGGGGTGGTTATGCTGCAATCCCTTTTCCTCTATTCTCTTCTTTGGATTTTGGACATGCACACACACCTGCCTGGCATGAATTTGAAGTCCCAGGGTTTGGGACTTAAACTACATGGGAGTCTAGTGATGTAACCAGTACACACACCATCTACTGGTACCAACTTGTAAAATATTTTTCAGTGACAAAATGGAAAGTAAAGACTGTTTTAAAATTCTGAATAATTTTCCTAATTTTATGTTACAATGGAATTAGAAGTCTTAATTAAAATACATGTAATTTTAAATACTACAATTTTATGATTTTCAGTTGTTGCTGAAATACATTTGTTGATACTTTTTTTTTCAGAGAGTTTTTTTTTTTTTTGATACAGGGTGCGTGCGCTCGCCAGACAGACAGAGAGAGACAGAGAGACAGAAAGCGAGAAATCACCCCCCCCAGAGGGGATGGCCACACCGCAATCCCTTCTCCTCTGTTCTCCTCTCAGGATCTTGGACACACACGCACGCACATGTGTCCGGCGTGAGTTTTAAGCCACCGGGTCCAGGATGCGAACTGTGGTCGACTACATGGGAGTCCAGCGATATAGCCATTACGCTAACTGCTGGTCCCTGAAATACATTTGTTGAAGTGGAATGAAAAAGAGACGTAACCTGAAACCAAGATTTTGGTCAGAATCAGAATTTAATCAAAGAATTTACTGGAGGCCACAAACCCATACAGACATTATTATTTTTTTTTCTTTTTTTGGAGAAGTTTTTGCTATAGGGCACGTGCGCTCACCAGACAGACAGAGAGAGACATAGAGACAGAAAGCGAGAAATCACCCCCCGGGGGGATGGCCATGTCGCAATCCCTTCTCTTCCATTCTCCTCTCGGGATCTTGGGCATGCACACACATGCGCCCAGCGTGAGTTTAAGCCACCGGGTCCGGGACTCAGACCACGGTCAACTATGTAGGAGTCCAGCAACACAGCCATTACGCTAACTGCTGGTCCCCAGACATTATTTTCAGCAGCTAGAACAATATACATTTTTAAATTCCAGTAATTAGCTCTTTTGTATAAAAGGCTGATTATCTACAGTCTTGTAAATTATAAAAAGTTTGAAGATTTTATAAAAAAGAGTATTTTCCAAAATCTCTTAATATTACAAACCTGGGTTCTTAGTATTCTTAGTTGAACTATTCCTTCATTTTCTTCTTCTCTCATCCTTTCTGTAGTGAGCTGCAAGCGTCCAATCAAGTTGATTTTACCTCTTTTTTGAACTTTTGCATTTTTTCTATAAAAAATAATGAAGAATATATTTAACAATGAAAGGGCTTTAAACATTACATAGTGACAATTCCTGAAAGAAATAGTCTAAAACTTTATATCCAGAACTGTTTAAAGGAAAAGTAACAAATAAGCAATATACTGATTTATTTAAAATGAACTCTTAACGGGATTGGGAGATGGCATAATGGTTATATCACTGGATTCCCACATAGTTGACTGTGGTTTGAGTCCCAGACCAGGAGGCTTAAAACTCGTGCTGGGCGCGTGTGTGTGCATGCTCAAAATCCCGAGAGAACAATGTAGGAGATGGAATTGAAGTATGGCCATCACCCCGGGAGGTAATTTCTCACTTTCTGTCTCTGTCTCTCTCCTCTTCAGCAAGTGCACTCTCCATAGCCAATATCTCTCAATTAAAAAAAAAAAAGACTCTATGATTTCCCTCAAACATGATACAGCCTCTGTTAATGTGAACAACTATACTCCTTGCAATAACAAAGTCAATTAGGACTAGCAGTTGACATAATAGCTGCGTCACTGGACTCCCACATAGTCAACCGCAGTTCAAATCTCAGACTCGGTGGCTTAAACTTATACAGGGTGCGTGTGCGTGTGGGCCCAAGATCCTGAGAGGAGAATGGAGGGAGAAGGGATTGCGGCGTGGTCATCCTTCCCAGGGGGTGATTTCTTGCTTTCTGTTTCTCTCTTTCTCTCTTTCTCTTGTTCTGGTGAGCGCACATGCCCTATAGCAAAAAACTCTTTCAAAAAAAAAAAAAAAGTCAATGTATATTGCCATGAAAGTGATAGGTTGATTAAGATATATTTGAATTGTGATTCGTCATTATCTTCTAACTCAATCTTAAGAATAAAACATTTTGTTTCGATAAAGTCCTTTACCCAAAGAACTTTAGAGTGCAAAAGAACATTTACTTTAAAAATGTCAAACACTGAAAATGTATCTATTAAAAATATGGTAAAGAGGTCAACATCACTGGTTTTTTTTGTTTTTTTTTTATGCCAGAGGGTGCATGTGCTCAGCAAGAGAGACAGAGAGGGACATGGTCACATTGCAATTCTTTCTCCATCTGTCCCTCTTTTTGGGATTTTGGTCATGGACTCACTTGTGCTTGACATATTTTTCAAGCTGCTGGGTCCGGGACTTGAACTGCGCAGTCGGCCAAGTGGAATCCAGTGGTTTTAACCCCCATGCCACAGGCTAGTCCCATTAGTATTTTTAATAAACAACTAAATGACAAAAATTAGAGAAATGACAGTATATAATTATATTTTAATCATGTAAAGAAAATATTTTGCTAAAAACAAAGCACTAAAATTCAAACAAGGTATTTTTATTTTAGATCATCCAACATAAAGCTTACATTAAACTGAACTCCTGGTTCACTGAGAAGAGAGTACCTTCTGTGAAGTCTTTGGGTGAGTTGACTTGAGGTTCATATAATAAAACTTGCCGTTTGAGCTTTGGGAAAGCTACTAAGGACTATGAAGGATAAAGAGAAAACAATTAGCATTTATAAATACTATGTGAAGAATAAAGAGAAGACAATTGGCATTTATAAACAGTGTAGAATATTAAAATCAACACTCTCCAAGAAAGGATTATAAACACAAATTGAGAATTCAGATTTTTACTTGGTAATTCCATGAATATAACACTGTAAATGCATACTGGGGAAATTACAGGAGGAGAAGGAGAAAAATGTTGGTCATCAGAAAGCAATAAATGCTTTGGTTACAATAAGACAAGACATTAGGACTGATCACGTAGGACCATAGCAAACAGAGCTTGCCAGTTCAATACCACCTGCTTCCTCCATAGGTAGTAATTTATTATGGAACTTATAGGGATAATCTGTAATTATAAGCTAATGAATACATTTTATAAGGTCTCAAAAGGATCAAAGCTTTCCAATTCTTGTATTTTTGGCCATCATAAAACCTTTGCTCACACTCTCAGTATAAAAATTAAGTACATGGCCCTAGCTACACTCCTTACAAGTAACATTGAAATACTAACTCAATTTTTCTTTCTTTCTCTCTTTTTCTGTCTCTCCCTCTCTCCTCTCTTTCACTCTCTGTTATTATTTTTTTCCCAGTAAACTTTCCCTGTCTTTGGCAATTAGACTATTTTCAATTAATACCTTGTTAGTGTATTTTTCTTGGTTAAAAGTCATTTTGAGGGACCAGCTGGTGGCGTAAAGTTTATGTCACTGGACTCTCACACAGCTGAGTGCAGATCAAGTCCTGGACCTGGCGGCCTAAAACTCACGCCGCACATGTATGCATGTGTGCTCAAAATCCCAAAAGGAGAATGGAGAAGAAGGGACTGCAGCGTAGCCATCCTCCCGAAGGGCTGATTTCTTGTGTCCTGTCTCTCTCTATCCTTCTAGCACATGTACTCTATAACAAAAATCTCTCTCTAAAAAAAAAGTCATTTTGAGAATATTCTAAATTTAACAGTTTATTACAAGTCAATCACATATTTCCTACTATAAGAGAGGATACACTTTTTAAAACAAACAAACAAAAAACACAAGACAAACCAACCAACCCATAAAGTCCTTCTAAGCTCAGCATCAGGGAGTTCGGTTGCAAGTTTTAGATTTTCAAAGCTGATTTTCTCTCTGGGTCTTTGGTTCCATGCAAACAACACAGCCAGCTGAAACGTGGTTACCTCCAAATCATATTGACCTACTTCATTCTTAAAAGTTATCTATAATAGATAAAAACAAGTTTTTAATAAATAAGAAGCTTTTCAAGATGATTACCACCTAATATAATATCTAATATCTTAAAACATTTTGTTTCGATAAAGTCCTTTACCCAAAGAACTTTAGAGTGCAAAAGAACATTTACTTTAAAAATGTCAAACACTGAAAATGTATCTATTAAAAATATGGTAAAGAGGTCAACATCACTGGTTTTTTTTGTTTTTTTTTTTTTTTATGCCAGAGGGTGCATGTGCTCAGCAAGAGAGACAGAGAGGGACATGGTCACATTGCAATTCTTTCTCCATCTGTCCCTCTTTTTGGGATTTTGGTCATGGACTCACTTGTGCTTGACATATTTTTCAAGCTGCTGGGTCCGGGACTTGAACTGCGCAGTCGGCCAAGTGGAATCCAGTGGTTTTAACCCCCATGCCACAGGCTAGTCCCATTAGTATTTTTAATAAACAACTAAATGACAAAAATTAGAGAAATGACAGTATATAATTATATTTTAATCATGTAAAGAAAATATTTTGCTAAAAACAAAGCACTAAAATTCAAACAAGGTATTTTTATTTTAGATCATCCAACATAAAGCTTACATTAAACTGAACTCCTGGTTCACTGAGAAGAGAGTACCTTCTGTGAAGTCTTTGGGTGAGTTGACTTGAGGTTCATATAATAAAACTTGCCGTTTGAGCTTTGGGAAAGCTACTAAGGACTATGAAGGATAAAGAGAAAACAATTAGCATTTATAAATACTATGTGAAGAATAAAGAGAAGACAATTGGCATTTATAAACAGTGTAGAATATTAAAATCAACACTCTCCAAGAAAGGATTATAAACACAAATTGAGAATTCAGATTTTTACTTGGTAATTCCATGAATATAACACTGTAAATGCATACTGGGGAAATTACAGGAGGAGAAGGAGAAAAATGTTGGTCATCAGAAAGCAATAAATGCTTTGGTTACAATAAGACAAGACATTAGGACTGATCACGTAGGACCATAGCAAACAGAGCTTGCCAGTTCAATACCACCTGCTTCCTCCATAGGTAGTCATTTATTATGGAACTTATAGGGATAATCTGTAATTATAAGCTAATGAATACATTTTATAAGGTCTCAAAAGGATCAAAGCTTTCCAATTCTTGTATTTTTGGCCATCATAAAACCTTTGCTCACACTCTCAGTATAAAAATTAAGTACATGGCCCTAGCTACACTCCTTACAAGTAACATTGAAATACTAACTCAATTTTTCTTTCTTTCTCTCTTTTTCTGTCTCTCCCTCTCTCCTCTCTTTCACTCTCTGTTATTATTTTTTTCCCAGTAAACTTTCCCTGTCTTTGGCAATTAGACTATTTTCAATTAATACCTTGTTAGTGTATTTTTCTTGGTTAAAAGTCATTTTGAGGGACCAGCTGGTGGCGTAAAGTTTATGTCACTGGACTCTCACACAGCTGAGTGCAGATCAAGTCCTGGACCTGGCGGCCTAAAACTCACGCCGCACATGTATGCATGTGTGCTCAAAATCCCAAAAGGAGAATGGAGAAGAAGGGACTGCAGCGTAGCCATCCTCCCGAAGGGCTGATTTCTTGTGTCCTGTCTCTCTCTATCCTTCTAGCACATGTACTCTATAACAAAAATCTCTCTCTAAAAAAAAAGTCATTTTGAGAATATTCTAAATTTAACAGTTTATTACAAGTCAATCACATATTTCCTACTATAAGAGAGGATACACTTTTTAAAACAAACAAACAAAAAACACAAGACAAACCAACCAACCCATAAAGTCCTTCTAAGCTCAGCATCAGGGAGTTCGGTTGCAAGTTTTAGATTTTCAAAGCTGATTTTCTCTCTGGGTCTTTGGTTCCATGCAAACAACACAGCCAGCTGAAACGTGGTTACCTCCAAATCATATTGACCTACTTCATTCTTAAAAGTTATCTATAATAGATAAAAACAAGTTTTTAATAAATAAGAAGCTTTTCAAGATGATTACCACCTAATATAATATCTAATATCTATTACATGATATTTCATGTGAAAAAAGCTGCTAGTTGTCTTCCAATATCCATTCTTCTTTCTTATGTAGTATTAAAAATTTTAGGAGCCATTAATGACTGTCCAGAATACAAGCTCATTTCTCAGCTCTCACTGTAGCAAAATGTGGTCTTGTCTAGACAGTTCTGGCCAATGTGATTTGAGTGAAAATGATGGGGAAAACTTCTAAAAGTTTCCCTTAAAGAAAGTTCCAATTTTCCTTTCCTATTGGCAGGAAGACAGACACAGCAAAGATGAGACTGGACTCTGCGAGCAAAGGCAAAATCTTAGCTTGATGGTGCACCAGAAACCTATGTCCCAAACAACTTCATGAAATAGGTTCACTATGCTGGTTTAACTCTTACTTGAAGTCCCGCTACTTTCATCCAAAACCAACAGCTGAACTAACACACCATGTACTTACAATTCCATTTGACATGAGATGATGCCAATGTAATTTTCTACCACTATGATTTTTTTTGTAGAATTCTTCTACTTCAGGTATCAAATCCTCCAGTTCAGTAGGAAGTGAGACAAAAACTTTTTCTGAGCTTCTTGACCAGGCACCAGCATTCAGAATTTTTATATTAACTGAATCAGCTATAGGCAAGAATATCAGGAAATATAAGATATAAAATAATCTTGACAATGGATAAAAGTAAATAATAGAGAGTAAGTTCTGGTGAAAAATAAAGAGTAAAGACTTTGTTAAAAGTAGTTTTTCTGGGACCAGCAGTTTGTGTAATGGCAATGTCACTGGACTCCCATGTAGTTGACCATGGTTCAAGTCCTGGACCCGGTGGCTTAAACTCACGCCAGGCGCGTGTGCATGCATGCCCAAGATCCCAAGAGGGGAATGGAGGAGTAGGGAATGAGGCATGGCCATCTCCCCTGGGGGGTGATTTCTTGCTTTTTGTCTCTCTCATTCTGGCGAGCGCATGCACCCTATAGCAAAAACCTCTCCAAAAAAAAAAAAAGGATCAAAAATAGGAATCTGTACATCTATTTGACTTTGCTGTCTCCATGAATATAGACTTCATAACAACTTTGGGTCTACTGCTGCTAATGTTTATTTGTTAATTACTGGAAAACAAGTGTGTGTGTGTGTATAGTCTTTTTATTTATTTTTAATTTGCAAGAAAGTACAGATAGTCACCAGAGACAGAAAGAAAGGGAAAGGGAGAATGCACCCCTCATGGGAAATGATCATGCTACAATACATTCTCCTCTATCTCCCCCTTCTTTCAGGATTTTGGGTATACATACACAAGTGCCTGATGGGGTTTCAAGCTGCTGAGTCTTGAGTCTCGAACCATGCAGTTGGCCATGCAGAATCCAGCTCCCTTAACCACTAGGCCATGGGCTGACCCAAAAGATATTCTTTTTTAAGAATTTAACAAATATATATAAATATAATAATTATAAAATAATACCTGGTAAAGCCAATTTATTATTTTTGTGCATTTCCTTAAAAGCTTGGTTCAAATCTTCAGATACTTTTATGTCCTGAAACATTCTAGCAAGCTTGTTTACATAATCTGCTGGCATACCAACTTCCTACAAAAACCAAAGCAAGAAGAGATAATGAATATATAATCTGATATGCTACCGGAAAAATATTTAATGAAAAACTCTTAGATGTTTTCATATAAAATTTTTTCTCTTGCTTATTTTGTAGAATAAATGTATAGTTTATCAACTTACTAAAGTTTGTTTATAATCAAATATCCATTAAATTTGATCAGAAACTAAGTAGGGTAGTATATATGGTCCTTGCTTTTGCACAGTATCCCAGTATGCATCACTTTTCAGTATGCATCATTTAATTACACCAGTTCCCCAACAACATAACTCAACGTTCAGTTGCCACTATACAGTAAGTGAGCATATCATGATCAGTGACCAATCACAATACCTTTTTTAAGTATTGAAAACTGATTAGTCATCTGTACTCAGTTCACACAGATTAGGTGTGTAGTTTTGTTTCATCTTTGTCTTCCAGTGATAAACCCTCAAAACATTTCAAAAAAATGGATACCCGAAAGAGGTAGTAATTGGCCAACAAAGATAATAAAAGTACACCAAAGAAACAGAAAGGGATAATGCCAGAAATGAAAGTAAAACAAACATTAATAGAGTTATAGAGGATGCTGACTGTGGCTATAACATTAACACTGCCAATGCATATGTGCAGGCATACAAACTTAATAAAGGCAAATTACTGACAAAAATGAGAAAAGTGACGAAAATGGTAAGATAACCCCAAGAAAGTGGCATTAGCCACAACTTCACAGCACCAAAAACCTGAAAGCCCGAAAGATAAAATGCATGATGGACAGTGACCCAAATTAAGTAGTGAGTATAACAACAGCCCAAAGCCCTGAAAAGATGCTCACTATATCTTAAGTTACACAAGGAGTCAAGGGCTACTCAAGCTACTCTTTTAATTTTCCTTAAAGAGAGATTTTTGCTATAGGGCATGCACTTGCCAGAGAGACAGAGAGGCAGAAAGCAAGCAATTATCCCCAGCAGGGGAGGGTCATGCTGCAAACCCTTCTCTTCCACTCTCATCTCAGGATTTTGGGCATGCATGCACATGCACCTGGCCTGAGTTTTAAGCTTCTGGATCCAGTTCTTGAACCATGAATGATTATGTGGGAGTCCAGCGAAGTAACTGCTATGCCACCTACTGGTCCCTCAATCTACTCTTTAATAACAGCTTCATTGGGGGCTGACAGGTGGCATGACGGTTAAGGGCAATGGACTCCCACATGGCCAACCATGGTTTGAGTCCTGGACATGGGTATGTTTGTGCGTGTGCGTGTGTCTGCGTGTGACGACAGGTCCTTGCTATGTTCAATCCTCCTGCCTTAGCCCCTTTAATAGCCAGGACGCCACCCTTGGTTCTTTCAGAGAGGGTCTTGCTACGCTGCCTACGCTTGCCGCAAGCTCATGATCCTCCCTGCTTCAACTTCCTGAGAAGCTGAGACTATGGGTGGACACCACCATGCCTGGCTTTTTAGGGGGGACTAGCAACTGAACCTGGGTTTCCCATGTGGACTCGGCCTGCCAAGCAGCAGTGTCCAGCACAGGCTACTAAGCTTCTTGTGTTTTACATTATAGTGTACTAAATATATATTTGTTTTGCTGGTTTGTTTTTTCTTTTTTCTACATATATATATCAAACAATATGAGAACTGAATGTTTTGACAATAATTTTTAAAAGTCAAAGAACAATCATTATCCCCCACTGTGCAGTTTCAGTTGGCAGTTAATTCTTTACTAGCCCATACTGCCATGTAAGAGGGGGCTACCAGGGACCAGCAGTTAGCGTAATGGCTATGTCATTGGACTCCCACATAGTCGACCGCAGTTCACGTCCTGGACCCGGTGGCTTAAAACTCACGCCAGGAGTGTGTGTGTGCATGCCCAAGATCCCGAGAGAAGAATGGAGAAGGGATTGTGGCGTGGCCATGCCCCCTGGGGGGTGATTTCTCGCTTTCTATCTCTCTGTCTCTCTCTATCTCTCTGGCAAGCGCACGCACCCTATGGCAAAAACCTCTCCAAAAAAAAAAAAAAAAGAGGGGGCTACCTGGAATTGCACATA